TCAATGATATCAAGGCAGCTGGGACCATAGTCACCAAGAAAACAGTTGGTAACACACTATGCCGTGAAGGACTGAAATCCTGCAGCGCCCGCAAGGTCCCCCTGCTCAAGAAAGCACATATACATGCCCGTCTGAAGTTTGCCAATGAACATCTGAATGATTCAGAGGACAACTGGGTGAAAGTGTTGTGGTCAGATGAGACCAAAATGGAGCTCTTTGGCATCAACTCAACTCGCCATGTTTGGAGGAGGAGGAATGCTGCCTATGACCCCAAGAACACCATCCCCACTGTCAAACATGGAGGTGGAAACATTATGCTTTGGGGGTGTTTTTCTGCTAAGGGGACAGGACCACTTCACCGCATCAAAGGAACGATGGACGGGGCCATGTACTGTCAAATCTTGGGTGAGAACCTCCTTCCCTCAGCCAGGGCATTGAAAATGGGTCGTGGATGGGTATTCCAGCATGACAATGACCCAAAACACATGGCCAAGGCAACAAAGGAGTGGCTCAAGAAGAAGCACATTAAGGTCCTGGAGTGGCCTAGCCAGTCTCCAGACCTTAATCCCATAGAAAATCTGTGGAGGGAGCTGAAGGTTCGAGTTGCCAAACGTCAGCCTCGAAACCTTAATGACTTGGAGAAGATCTGCAAAGAGGAGTGGGACAAAATCCCTCCTGAGATACGTGCAAACCTGGTGGCCAACTACAAGAAACGTGTGACCTCTGTGATTGCCAACAAGGGTTTTGCCACTAAGTACTAAGTCATGTTTTGCAGAGGGGTCAAATACTTATTTCCCTCATTAAAATGCAAATCAATTAATAACATTTTTGACATGCGTTTTTTTCTGGATGTTTTTGTTGTTATTCTGTCCCTCACTGTTCAAATAAACCTACCATTAAAATTATAGACTGATCATTTCTTTGTCAGTGGGCAAACGTACAAAATCAGCAGGGGATCAAATACTTTTTTCCCTCACTGTAGGTTCAAAGAAAATAACAAAAAACGACGTCGTTTTGATCGCAACACAAGCGGTCGTCATCGCGTCATCACGACGACCGCTTGTATTGCGATCAAAACGTCGTAGTTTTTTGTTATTTTCTTTGAACCTATCTACGTGACTTTACCGAAAGACCCAAAGAATACGCCTTGTGATTTTGCCTTTGTCTCGGATGCGGCGTGCTCGCGTGCCGTGGCCAGGAGGCCTAGAATGCTGTGTTTGTGTACGTGTTCCACTTTGTGCCTTCGCCAGGGACCCCAGCATCAACGAGAATAAAATTTCTTGTTGTGGCTGCTGCAGTCACGACTCCCAACAAGTGGTTGAGCAGCGATCAGAGAATTATTCGCGTTTGATTCCAGTTATACATTTCAGCACAGAGACATCGTCACTTCCATTGGCGTCCTTTGTAATATAGCAATTAAACAGGAACCTGTTCTGGAAAGGCTCGCATTTTCAAGAGATCCCTAGTTTTTTTTTTATACAGGTGCACGCGAAAAATACTATGGATTTAATAGGGTTAGCAACTTCGAAGTTTTGAATAGGACGTGGAAAGACAGCTCTGTCGATGTCATTTGGCAGAGTAGGTTGCGACGGCTGAGGCCTTTATACAACAAGTTGGCAGACAGCCGATTGTCGACCGCGCAATGACCATGTGGCCTGGCAGAAAGAAGAAGGTGATGGGGAGAAGAGAGGTGTGAGGGCAGCTTTGCCGTGAGTGTGATCACCTTTTTGATGCTGACCTGCACGGGACCTTTTTGATATCTCCCCCTTGAGCGCTTTGGCCCATGGGAGGAAACAACGGTGCGTGGAGAAATGCCCACACACACACGCACGCACACACGCACGCACGCACACACGCACACATGGACGCACACACGAGGGGGGGGAAACGGCGGGCGCCGGATTGCAGGGGCGCATCGCCTCTACCTGAGCCGCAGCTTCACCTGGCCACGAGGCGTCGAGATGCAGGAGGTCGTAGGTTCGATCCCAACCCTGATGCCTGCTGTTTATATAGAGTTTGCATGTTCTCTCCGTGGTCGCGTGGATTTTTCTCTGGGTCCTCACACTGGAGCGAGCTCTAGAGGGTTGTTGGCCTACACCTCCACACTGACCTGATGCCTTGGGAAGATGTGCACATACCCACACTTTACCCCACCACACAACCTGCTGACTGGCTCACCGGTGTCACCCATTTTTACTGCTGGGTGTGTACAGAGAGAGGGGTTTTTTTAAGAAACTTGCACCATTGGTTTAACTTCCGTACCAGACGATGGAATTGGGCGCAATGCGCGGCTGTATCAGGAGTTGAGTCTTCACCCAAGTCGTAAAGTGACTCATGCGCTGAACATTTGACTCAACGGCATCCCCGACTTGCGGATGATTTAAATTAAAATTACGCTCCCTGGGGCTGAATCGCGTGTGGGGGTTTTCTGTTTGCGTGCGCTTCCCCACCCCACCCCCCCCCCCGATATTTTTTGGCAAAAAACGTGACTCTGTGGCTGCATAGCCAAACAATGGGGAGCATCGCAAAAGCAATTTGCGGCTTAGCCGTCGTATCAGAATGTGATCATTGCCCCCTAATTTTTCGAGTCTAAAAAAAAAGCAGGTGGTGACTCAAGTGACTCGTAATGGCCGCGTGTAGAATCACCGAGCCAGCGTGGCTCAGACGTCGGTGTCGTGTCCGATGCTCGCCCGTGGTAAAGCCAGGCTCTCGTTGTCGCTCGTCTCATGGACTCAGGCCGCTCATTGATGACCTTGGCTAAAATGCTAAATAAAATCGATTACTGTAAAATATACATGTATATTTGTCCATATTAAATTATATTACTATAATGCTTTTGATCATCTCATGAAACAATGCAAATGAACTTTGTAATGTTTGCAGATAGCAGTGCATCACCCTGTGCCGGAGATTGTCCACGATGGAAGAAGTCACAATACCGCTTCCGAAGTCACTGTTGTCAGTCCATTAAACCACACCGGAGTGTTTTGACTGTCACACGCTGATCAATGTAACGCGTTTCATCATCATCAGACATGGAAATAAGCCAAATGAAAAAGTAAAAAATATGATTTAGCATGGGCTGAGACCACGAAATGTACACGTTGAAAGCCTGGTTTAATTACAAAATAATAGATTTGAAGCTTTCGTGACTGCAAGGATCCATGCTCTTTGGTTCAATTCGGTAAAGTCACGTAGGTAAAAAATAAATCAACAAAAATCACGACGTTTCGGCCACAACACAAGTGGCCTTCATCAGGTGAAGGGACCATACTATCCAGAGGACAGCGTTGGAGTGAAGACAGTCAAGCCGAAGTCGCGTCCTTTAAGCTGTGTGGGAGGAAACAAAACGCTTTGACAAAGGAATTAGCAGAAAATGACCCTAAAGCACGTAGAGGACCGGCACAGGGGGGGGGGGGGTGCGGGGGGGGGGGGAGTTTACAAATAATAATTTGCGTCGTTGTGGACACAAATGATTAAATGAACAAATGAAAGTACTAATTAAACAAAGGAAATAGGGAGGACAGACAAATGGATAGGGTGCCACGGTGGCGAGATGTTAACTCCCTCGCTTGGTATACAGGAGGTTGTCAGTTTGATCCCGCCCCCGATGCCTGTATGTTTGGAGTTTGCGTGTTCTCCCTGTGGTCGCGTGGATTTTTCTCCGGGTCCTCCAGTTTTTCCCTCCACATTTAGAAACTTGCATTTTAGAGGATTTGTCTGCTATAAATTTCCACATGATAAGCCACTTTATTGAGCTATCATTTGTGGCCAGATCGCTTCTGAGTCATGTAACTCAATGGGCCTTGGTAAAATAAAAAAAAATTGTCTAATTTTATTAGTTTAGAAAAAAAATCACACATTCCATTAGTCGCACGGCCTTCTGGGAGTACATCATTTGTTGCAGCATTGGTTCAACGCACGCAAACGCTGAACCAGTTTCAACTTTCTGGTCTCATCAGCAGAGTTATATTTTCTTGAACCAATTTTGGCGAACTGCTAGATGTTTGTAGGCAAGCGACCCCTCTCCCGTTAGATATGGGTCTTAGTTGGGTGCAACACTGTAATACATAACACAAAATAATTGTTACGAGTTACTAAAACCCATAGTGGAATCCAGGATCTCGGTGCTGCCAGCGTGAGCTTTCTGAGTCACCCAGCCACCCAATGAATTAGATTTTTTTAAATCTCAAAGGCCCGATGACCTTTTTGACGCAAGTGAAAATTATTTATTCATTTACTAGTTTCTAGCCGCTTCCTTTCTTTTTGTTGTTCGTGAGCTGCGTTTAAAGTGTATTTCCGAGCTTCGTGTTTACACCATACGTGGTTTTGGTGTCATGTCCTGTTTGCCCGAGCGACCTCTTTCCATGGTGAAATGTGCGTGTGTACGCGCGCGCGACAATAAATGTGCGCGCGCGCGAGTATAAGCGTGCGCGCAGGTGTGTGTGCGGGTGTGTGGGAATAGCGGCACTGTGAACTCTGTGTGCATACGTTTGTGTGTCGGTCTTGGTTTTATGAGCAGTATCAGTGTAGCGGTTAGCGTACTGAGCTGCTAACCTGTCGCCCCGAGTTGGATTCAAACTCATGGCCAATACAAGTGACAATTATCTGAATCAGTCCTGGGCCTCCCCGAGGTTAACTAGGCCTCAAATTAGTACCTGGTGTGATATGTAAACATCATCACTGGAGAGACAAAGGCGGCCAGGTGTGATGCTGGCCACCCACCCCCTCGTGTGCTGTTCTGGCCTTCATAGGTGCTCTCTAACAGCACTTGCCCCAACAGTCTGTTAAGGCTATACGGGGTATCTTTGTTTTTGTGTGTTAATCAGTGTTTTCATATGTGGGTGATTTTGTGCAAGCAGGCGGCCAGTTGTGGTGCTGGCCACCCACCCCCTCGTTTGCCTTTCCGGCCTTCATGTGCGCTCGCTCCCGGCACTTGCCCCAAAGGGTTGTTAAGCCTGTACAGAGGGGACCTTTGCCTTTTGTGTGCATGCGTGTAGCCAAGCTGGAGCGGTTCGAGGTGCCGGTCAAGGTGCGCCTGAGCCCCAACGCGTGGACCCCCGAGACCGGCCTCGTCACCGATGCGTTCAAGCTCAAGCGCAAGGAGATCAAGCGCTTCTTTGAGAAGGACATCGAGCGCATGTACGGCGGGAAGTGACCTCGCCGCGTTGCCCCGCTCTCCCCCCCTCCACGTGCCCCATTTCCCTTTCTCCCTCCTTTTGCTCTTCACTGCAAACGTGGACGGACTGTCTGTTGGTGAGCCAGAATCATTTTATAAACCGTGCGATGGTTGGGGGGCGGCTGGGGGGCGGTTGGGGGGGTAGGTGGGGGAGCAGTTGGGGGCCAGTTGGAGGAGTCGTTTGGGGGGGCGTTTGGGGGGTGGTTGGGGGAGCGGTTATGCTCTTGTCGCCGTCTGTTCTCGGCATGCTCGAGCGACAGGGATGGTTCGCGGGGCTTGTCAAGGCCTTGTTGGAGCGGAACGTAGAGCCGGGCGGGCGCTCGCGTTTCCCCCATCCCCGTGTGACGGAGCGGCCACGTTCCGGCACAGTGATTCATTCGTTGCGTTAAATATTCTTACGCCCACGATAATGCGTTTCGAATCGTGTGTGCAAGAATAGATTTATTTTAATGATTGTTACGTTTAAGAATTCGATCAGAAGTGCAATTCGTATCCCGAACGCTACATTTAGGCTATTGGAGAGAGGAAAGACAAACTACAAAAACGAGATGGAATGAAACAAGATGATAAGAATCCGTTATTTTACCACAATCCCATCAAATGCACTAATAGGCAACTGTGGGCCGGGTTCATCCTCATAAGGACTCATCAGCACAGCGTTGTCACCAATGCTGCTCACTGCTGCCAAGTGTGCCGATGGGAAGCGTAGAGAACGTGGAGGCCCCCCCCCCCACCGGGTGCTTCCACCTCCACTGCGTCGCGGCGGTCTCCTCCCGGCACTCGCGCTCTGCCCGTCAAAACATCGTGGGGAAATTGGCCAAACATCCCAAATTGTGAGTCTCATGACATGTTGAGTCATGAGATAATAATACGAATAATAAATAAAGCATATGCTTGATTGGGTGACACCTTTCTAAGTCTCGAGCCGTTTTCAAGGGGTCACGAGGATTTTTGGCCAAATTCTGTCACGAAAATGCTTTTGCGTGCAGTAGTAGACCGTAACGTGCGGAGAAAACATGGTCCTGCGAGGGCCTGCGAGGGATTGACGGTTGAAGGGCCACAAAGGCTGCTTTTGCGGTCCCTTCATTTTTGTCTTTTACTGCACGAACCACGGATCTCAGCTGTGCCGGTGTTCGGACACGGCCATCACAGGGTTCTCCTCTTCCAGTCTCCACGCCGTCCTCGTTCCATGGAAAAAGAATAACGCAGCCAGTACCCGCAAGCGTCCACGTGGTCGGAACAGGCGAGCGAGGAACCCCTTGTTAACAACGTGGGCGCCGTTGTGGCGAGATGTTAACTACCTCGCCTGGTATGCAAGAGGTCGTGGGTTCAATCCTGACCCCTGCGCCTGCTGTATATTTGGAGTTTGCATGTTTTCCCTGTGGTCACGTGGATTTTTTCTCCGGGTCGTCTAGTTTTTCCTTCTACATTTAGAATCAACTGGCGTTTATAGAGTATTTAGCTGCTATACATTTTCAGATGATGATAAGCCACTTCATTGAGCTATCATTTGTGATGGCCAGGTTGCTTCTGAAAAAGAGCTATATAGCTCAGTGGGCCTTACCTGGTCTCACCCATCTCCAGATCCTCACGTGACCACGCAGTGAGGGTGTTCGGAGCGAGTGGAGGGCTGCTAGCTGTCTCGTTGTCTGGCAGGAGCCACATTGCTCGATGGCTCTCGATGTGCATTCGTTGGTCTGCTTCGGCTGCTTTGTTGGGCTTGATCGGATTTTAGGGGATTTTTTTTTCGATAAATTTGTAAGCGAAAACAAATGAAAGATTGTATAGCAACTGTTTGCCCAACAAAGCAGGACGCTGAAAGGGATTTCACGTTTTGAGTGATTGCCCCTTTTCATTGCTGCGAGTCGCAAATATGAAAGTGGTGAATCTGCTCTTAAGTGAATATTAAAGACCAAGAGAAAAATGCGTTCTGTATTCATCCAAATAATGAAAGCGTTCGTTACAGACTTTCCAGAAACTTCGCTTCTGGAAAGTCGGAGCAACTGCAACTTTGACGTCGCGGAGTGCAGGACATTGTGGGATTGCTGAATTCTTTACGAATCAACAATTTGGTAAAGTGTCTTAGTAGCCTCAGTGAATTCGAGCTTGGTATCAGTATTGAGAGAGTAGAATCTGACCTCTCCTTCAAAAAGTGATTTATTCTGCTCGCATTAGCATGAATGGTTATTGTTAGCGACATTCAAACAAAGTGATGTACACTTGTTTTTCTTGGTCCGACCCTTTTAATTCCTGCGTCGAAGTTTATTTTAATTTCTTGGGTCTCACTTACGTTTGAGCCGGTGAACCTCACGGAGGCTCTTGCCCGATTTAAATATAAGGGCCTTTCACTTACGAATCGCGGGTCCCGCAGTGATAAAGCGACTGCACCGTGAAGCGATCCGAACACCTGCTGTTGCGTGTGAGCATTCGTGACGATCCACAGAGTAGCAAACTTGAATCACTGATGGAGAGGTGATGGGGTGGAGGTGGTTGGCTGGCAGAGCTCGGAAACCACAACCACTCTGCCAGCTTGTGACAATTGGGACCTTCCGAGAGCTTTACATTGGTATTGTGTGGACTGTACCCTTGCTACGCTGGAGGGGTGGCATGTCGGTTTAGCGGGGGGTGAAGACAAGCTCTTGCACGCTTTATGTTGCCCCCTCCCACAAAGTGTCACTCATTACCTGGCCGTTATTATTACATAGCCGTAGCGAATACAGAATGAGTTTTTCAAGTAATCTTATGGCGAAAAATGTAAAAACGAGTTGATTTTCAATTCTCGACCGAAGTTAGACGGTCGTTACTAAAACCGACTGACGTGTGTGCCGGGAGCAGCAGGGGAGAGGGGCACATTAAAAAAGTTTTGAAAATGACACGTATGCATGCATGTTGAACTTCTTTGGCGCACCGTACGTAGCCAACTGTGCTAGTGGGCGGGGAAGGACAACAAACTAAACACAAAACGCAGTCCCTAAGAAATGAGTTTTCAATTGAAATTAAGTGACACATCAACGGGAAACCTGATCAATGCGCGGCTCACACGAGCGATGCTATAAAGTTGAGATTTGCTTGACCATGACCGATCCCTTCGCCATGGCGGTGCTGTTAGTCGACCGCCATGCGCAGCGTGCATCACAACGCGCCGATGCAGCTAAAGCGACTTTTCCAGCATCCTCGTGTGTGTGTTTTGACCCGATGATATAATTGATGTCAATCCAGACTGGCGATTGAAACCGCTAATAATAATCACGCCCATTCACGCCGTGCGCACAGTGATCGGTTTAACGCTACTTTAACGTGAAATTGCAACAAGACTGCTACTTGATTTCATTTTGTACTTCCTTTTTCAGGAGAGACGGCATCACATCGGGAGTGCTCCCGACACAAAACCTTGTGTGGGTTAGGGGTGGGAGGGGGAATTGTCGAGCGTGCAGTGGCCGACACATTGTAGCATACGGATCTATGATTAACGTTCCGAGGTGTGTGTGTGTGTGTATATATATATGTGTATGCACAAGATGTGTGTTAGGGGTTTTGTCAAAGCCTTGTACTCTCTGAAAGTGCAATTTGTGTTTCACGCAAATACGGACATCCTGCAAAGACGACGCGTGTCGTTCACGAGATGCGTTTAAGCCACCCACAGCCTGATGGACGGACTCACGTGGTCTCTTGCAAGCTCCACTATTTGGGCTCGCAGGCCCAGTCGTTTGATGTGGCCACTTAGGAAATACGAAAGCATCATGGATATTATCTCAACGGTTTTGTCAATAATTCAGGTTGGCTAGTGGAGTGTAGCCCTACTGCCACTATTGGTTCATGCAGTCGTCTGCTAATTTCTGGCAGCCCTCATTCCCGATCACACCAGCTAGGTGGTAAAGTTGACTCGCCAATTGTAATGCGGCAAGTTAAACTCCTGGAAGGGGGTTTTCTTGGCCCCATCATTCCTTAGGGCTGAATAAAATGAGTATCAGCTCGTGGTAAGAATTCAACAGCAGTCATGTGGATGGAGTGACAGCTCCCCTGCCATAGGAATGTGGAATTTACACTGCTGGCTAGGGTCATCTCAAGTCACCACTTGAGATGGGCACCACTTCCATGTAATTAATACAGACGTTAAAGATCCAGTGACGTCATCCACAAGAGGAGTCCAATGTGTGCCAGTATCATGATCTGACTCCCAAGTTTGTATGGCTTTAATCGCTCCAGTCGATGACAGTGCGTTTCATTTTTGACCTATCACATTTCATCTAATTTCTACACTCCATATAAAACATACCGATTATAATTATACATACAACGATTCACTCCCTTTTGTTACACGACTTGTCACATTTGTTGCAATTCATTTTTGTAAGTTATTTTTTCTGTCTCGTTCGGTGTCTATTGGTGGTATTGCTCCCGTCTCCTAGCCTCTACATAACATTTGCATATAATATGCATAAATAGTAAATGATGGATTCCCACATGCACTTGTTCGATGCTTTTAACATTACGCCAACAATTTAAATCGAATAATAATAAAAGTAAAGACATTTACAGTGCAAATCTTTACTCAGGATAACGTCTCTGCTTCTCAAGACTTTCAGGAGCGTCCTGCTTGAGATGTTTGGTTCGTTGCTTATCGAATATATGTACATGCCTGCCTGGGACGAAAGCAAAAGTGCCCAGAGAAACCCTCCCAAACATACAGGGGGGAGAATACCAACGTCCGTGCACCGATTGCCGTAAACCAGCATCGACAAATATTCGTCGTCCATTGGGAGTTACTCTGAATGGATGACATTGCTTGCTCGTTCCCATTTCCCGTGCAATAATTCTAATATGGCGAGTGCTCGGTGAGCCGCATCATAAAGAGACGTAGTGGCTCGGAGGGTGACGCTCTTCCCCATCGCCCCCCGAGCCAGTGTTGGTAATTCCACGATCCTGCAGTAGGGAGCAAAATCCTCTCCATAAGGCAATGCCATTGACTTCGGAACAAGAGTGGTCATCATTGTTGCATTGTAGCACCGCTGATGCATCCCCTGTATCGGCGGCGGTGCTCGAGCGTTGGTTAGCTGGCGCTCGCTGTACCGAGGGGTGATGGGCTGAGTCAGCCTTGCGAAGTGGATTTGGACTTTCCGAGCGCGAGTC